ATACTGTACGGATTTTCCTCTAGACGTTCTGCTGCTTATGTACAAAGTAAAGTTTAATAGTTGCAGCTGTTTGTCCTTGAGCGCTATCTGATCGCTGTTCAAGGCCGTGTTGTTGGGGATGATACAATAACGCTAGCAGGGGAGAACTGTGTTCCTGTAGAAAGGCTGGGATTTCCCGACAAGAAGACTATAATAGTTTTTAAACTGGTTGTGATAACAGCCAGGAGGAGACTCCCTCCCCTGGACACAGCTAATTTTAGGGGGTTTAAAATTGATACAATCACATTATCGATTTTTATGCAAACAGAGGGATAGAAACCATGGTTAGAAACCAATCAAAATGTGCATATTAATAATTTTCTTTCTTCAGAAGTTTTTTTCTTCTTCTTTTTTTAAATTCAGAAAACAGTATTTTCTTGGATGTGTAGTCCTAAAGATGAAACCACTTATTTAGAGAAGTGGAATTTTGTTTTGGGGTGTGTTTTTTCTTTTGATAAGGGACTTGTTTACAAGGTGAGTGGTGATTAGAAAAAGGATGAGAAGGAACCCTGCAAAAGGTAAAGCACTAAAAGTGAACTTCTGTGTTAGGAATCTTTCGAATTTAGCGTAGAGCGTAGAGAGGCTTCTTGAATTCAGCGCAATACGTAGCCGGCTCTCAGAATGTAGCGTTGTCGGGACCCCCCTTGCAGGGCCCCTTGAAAGGGCTCACACAGCACATTTTCTGTATCTCTTCGTATTCCCGTCTTAAACAGTGAAAACGCAGTGACACCGAATCTGTTCTGTTCTCCGTGACCTCATTTCCCTTTCCTCATGCCAAAGTTGGTAGTCTGAGCAATTTCAAGGACACACAGCTCAGGCGGCAGCGTACCGATACTCCCTCAGGTAAACAGGAGTATGTGGCCTTGAAGCCGTGGCCTTGGTATGGCCAAATCAATGTACTGCCTTACATATGTGTGCTTGCTATAGAAATAAAAAAAAAACTCTTGATGTATGTTTTTTTGATTGGATTCCAGCCAAAATAGTTACGTATTTTAAGGTGTAAGTCTATGGGACAGCGAAATTGGCGTATGAGACCTTAAATACTAGTAGCCGATTTAGCTTAATACACTACATTGCGAACCTGTCTATATTAGCAACCGCTAATATTTCTATCTAGTTCAATAATCTGTTGATATTAGCGCGGGAAACTAAAAAACACAACTTTCTATTGATACATGTTTGGCTCAATTAATGATCTATAACCGCTTGTAAGATTTTTGATAAATACATAGATTTAAAAATCACACCCAATTCAATGGTATGTTCTGATTTTATCATAAACTGTAGCTACTTATTTGTGTCTGTACATTCGAAGGAAAAGTTCAATCCATCCTGTACAACTGTTGCGCAATCAAGTTATTACTATGAAACAGGAAGTCTTGATAAATTGTAAAGCTTTCGTTAATCAAGTAGCTTTTCCTGATGAACGTGGGAATTATTCTACAGGAAGCTTCTTCAGCTGTAACCTAGCAGCACATTCGTGGCCTCCATTTAAAGGCATCTACCGCGAAGTGACGCCTCTTCAGTTAGCTTGTCAGTATCCGGGAGACCGCCGTGTTGTGTACCTCTTCAGACCGCTCCTTGCCCCATCCCCTTCTACAGAGCTAACTTGCACATATCCTGTGCATTAGATAATTTTTCTGTCCAAGGTGGGTTTGTTGTTTTGATATCCTTGAAGTTGTTCGTGTTTGTTTATGGTAAACGTATGGCGCGCGTTATTTGACTTCATAAAATATGTGCTAGATTACCTTGACGTTATTTGAACACTTCCTCTTCGGTTCCGTCCTGATAGTTCCTTCTAGACTAAATTACCCTGGATGCCAAACTAGTATCGGGCCGTTAGCCGTTTTCCTTCGGCAGCCGAGAGCCCTTCGCCTGCCTGCGGGGGACTTGAGCCCGGGGGGAGTTTGTGTTGGCTACTCCCCCCGGGCTAGACTCCCCCGTACACCAGCGGGCGAAGGGCTCTTGCGGCCCGGAAAACGAGTTTGGATTCCAGGGTAAGACTAAATCGGCGTTCGGTTGATTCTTAGAGGCTTTACGTGCAAAATATATTTCAGCATAGGTAGGAAAATTGGAGATCAGCACTAGTCGTGTGGTATACAGAATCTGCTGAGTCATATGCGGCTGACCTGATTGTAAAGTACACAAAGATGATGTAATGTAGACGGGGTGGGTTTTGTCACTCCCACAAATGTAAAGATGGTGACGCCAAAACACACCTACATTTTATACCAAAATTCATAAATATAACCAAGAAATAACGAATTCTCCTCTTAATTCATTGCATACTGTTGATAGAAAGAAACAAATTTTGTCCATTATTGGGACCAAGTCGGATTGGACCAATTTGTTCAGTTTATAACGTTATAGTATAAAAACAATTTTGATTTTAATTGAATTAGTAAATAACCTCCTCTGTGTACCATTCACATAATTTTACACTCACTGAGGAAATGATTACTACGAAATGTAGTAATCATCTAAATTAAAAACATGACAGAGAATAGATAGATAATGTCATGACAATTGGCATAATTTTCCTAACATTACTGTTTCATGACATGACAAGTACATGTATGGCATTTTTTCACTTTGCAGTATTTTTATGAAGAGCTCACAGCTACTTCTTAATGGGATTGAATCAATCATCAAGGTATGAGCAATGCTGTGTATTGCAAACCGCCATTCAAGACAAAATGAATGAAATTTGTTTATCAAGGGCATACTAATAGAGATGGGATAGTCCCAAAACCAAGACATGCATGTATTGAAGGGTGTTGATGTAATCCATTCTTAAAAACAACTTTCCAAGTGTGATAAGTACTCTCCGTGCAAATGTTTCGATCATGGGTTATTTTGTTGTTGTTGTTTTTTCTATGATTTTATGTTTCCCCTGTAGTGGATGCAGTTTTTTTCACTTTCCTTCCTTTAGATCAAGAGACAACAAAGTAACCCTTAAAGAAAACTTTTGCTTGGAGAGTATGGTAAGATGCTCAAACGTTGCAAATAAAAGTCAGACATTCTTACCAGCATTGCCACATTTAGATAGTTACATGTAACGTTACATGACACTAATACTAGTAGTAAAGGAGCTTCACTATTGATTGTCAGTGGATGTAGAAGTTAAGACATCATTGCTGTAACGTTACATATGTTATATTTTTTTTCTTTTCTTAGCGACCCAGAACAGCTCAGCATGTCTAAGGAGTTTGTTGAAGCCACCATCCGCGACAACAAAGTGGTGGTGTTTTCCAAGACCTACTGTCCATACTGCAAGATGGCTAAGCAGCAACTGAACAAGTACAAGGGGCAGTACAAGGTTTGTTGCTAAGTATAATCTGGATTAATGAATCATCTGTATGTATTTTTTATAAAGTTCTACTGTCTTCAGGATTAATTGCAAGGATGGCTGTTGTGAATATGCCTTGACCTAAAAGCCTGTATTATTTTGTCATTCCAGGAGGAACCTGTAATTATTGAGATTGAGAATCGCCCAGACTGCGAGCAGATCCAGGCTATCTTGGGGAAAATCACTGGAGGTCGAACAGTAAGGCACAATAATATTAATTTTGTAAAGGTGGCATAGACACAGAACCCCACATGAAAAAATACAAAACTGCAAGACTTATTGATGTATTCCAACACCTGAAACTCCACGTGTGAAGATCTAGTGGAGCATGCTACTGGTACTTAAGCAAACCTTACAGTCTGGTACATTATACAAAACTGGTGTGTTATTAGTACTACTTATTATGTGAAACAAACAGCTTGAATTGAGGACGTATCTCTTACTTCATCCTGTGCTTGATACTGAAAGGTTCCCCGTGTCTTCATCAATGGCAAGTGCATCGGTGGAGGCAGCGAGACCAAGGCTGCAGAGGATTCTGGCAAGCTGAAGACAATGCTGAGTACAGCTGGGGCCATCTAATCCCACCTGACGAAATTCCAGTGCCTGAGAATAGAAGCTAGCAAGCATTTCTACTCATATCAGTAGTTTGTGTTGTGATTTTCATTCATGTAGTCTATATGTGTGTTTTCCACATTGATGCAGAAATGAGTGACGCACAAGCGAAGTACCAATTTAAAAAAAACTCTCTAGAAACAATTTTTTTAAGAACTATATGGCCAACCATCTCCCTCTCACTATATTTTTGTTACAAAACAATACCACCAGATGATCATTCAATCAAGAGCTTGATAAGGCATTGAAACAGATCATTCGTATATCTTCCAGGCTTCTTCAGTGTCATTGATGTGTAAATATTGCTTCAAAATTTCAGTCCTGCAAATACATGATTCCTTCCAAAAACATTTTAATTAAAATGAAACAACGTTAACATGTTGTCAGAACTACACTTTTGACCACTTGGGAGGAAGTCTGTTGATGTTGTAATGTATTGTACTGCATTGTGTTGTTCTACTCACTGGACAAATAGCTTTCTTGAAGCTAAAAGTGGATCAGAGAAAACAAAACATAACTGCTGAATAACAGCATTAATCATGTCACCACTGCAAAATCAAAATAAAAAGTTTCAAAGAACACTGGTGTATGACTTTTATTGAATTCCAGCTATTGCTCTCTACATACATCCAGCTTGCAGAGCGTGCTCTCTTGCTGTATATCAGAGGAACAGTGGTATTAGTGTAAAAACAAAGTGTAATGAAGAACAAAAACTTGTGTATTAAGTGAACAACTTTGTTAGTAGAACGTAATCTTTTGACAATTGAGAAAATTTCCAGTTTCAAAAACGTGAAATATTTGGCTTTGGGGATTTTTATGTGAACGATCTCATTGCCCTTACTACCTAACAAAAATTTGTTCACTCTCTGTCGGATCTTTTTCAGAATCAACATCTATAATGCTGTTGTGTCCACTTTAAAGACATGCAAATAATGAAACTGGAAATATGTCTCTTGAGAAAAAAATACATAAAACAGAGTTAGTCATTAGATAACTAGCTTTTTTTAATCTTATAGACAGGATGCTGAACCCAGTATGAAGCTTGGAATCTTTGTAACAAATCTTGTTCTCAATGCTAAATATCAATGCTATACTAGAGGAATGTAAGTCCTTGTGTTTACTATAAATGCAACTATTGAATAGAAACGTGCTAGAGATGAAAGTAACGTTCTCAACTTTTTCTATGATGTGTAACATTTCTGTTGTACTAGTATACCACATCAACAAACCATCTTTCAGTCATTTTTTTGCCTCTAAAAGCCAAAGCTGAATTTTTCCACAATACAAATATATTGCACAGACATCCTTGCTGAAGTACTGGTACTTTAGGCAAACTGATCAAAATACAACTAAACTCTATGTGGGGAAATGGTGTAGGTATAATTGTGTGCTCTGCTCTGTTTTGTTAAAGCTAAATAACACTGTCTTAAAGACGTGAAAGTGACCCTAGTGTCACATGAATGATACATGAATCAATGTATGTTTTGTACCTGCTGTACCTGACAGGAAAAACTAAACTTATGATGAGGCGAATCGTGCTACTGATGACATGCCTTGGTACTGCCACATGAGTATAGCAATGTTCAAAAGGTGAAACTATAATTTTGGTTACAACTGCTATATCCCAGAGACCCATTCAACTCTTTTCAGTCCTCATTGCACTCTTGATGTGTTTGTTGCTGTTGTTGTTGTCTTCCTTCATCTTCTCACTATTCATCTTCCTGTGTGTACTTGAACTTCTTGCGAATCTTGCGGAACTTCTTGAGGTCCCATTTGTCAGTGGGCAGCATCCAGTGCCCGTTGAACACACAGTGAACCGTCATGTTGTCCTTAAAGTTGAGGTCTGGCAGAAGCTGTGGCAAAAAATTTTGAGAAAAATTGAGAATGGGTTCAGTGACCTTCTGGAAAGCCCTTTTTAATTAGTTGCAGATCAACTACAAGGAATTTGGGATATTAGGCCACAGCAAGTAATTTTTATGGATGACATCCGCGCGCGCATTAATTTTCGCCTGATTTTGAAAAAAAAAACAAGAACTTTTGTTGCCCTCTGACAGTGGTCAACATGCCGAAAATGGCAAAGGTGTCTGTTGCCACACCGGAAGGCAAATAACCGAAGAGAGGAGACAAGAAAAGGATCTGAATTAATGTTTTGTTTCTTACTTTGATGCAGTGATATGTGATGCTGGCGGTGTGTATGTGATGTTCCCACTGAATCAAAACCATTCGTACAATGATTGAGTCAAAATTTCAAAATGTAAGAACCTTGTTTTTTTCGGCCCGTCTTGTGTTTTTTTCGCCCGCCCGCATTAGATTTGGGGTCTGAGGAGGATGTCATCCATAAAATTTACTTGCTGTGGCCTTAAGCAAAGTTACCTGAAAGTTTCAGAATAGCTTGGTCTTTTCCGTTGTGAAATATAGAGATGCATTGATTATTGTCCAAATGTTCTGAATACCTCTGCTTGAGCAGGTTAAATGGCAGTGACCCCGGGTTTGCTGACAATGAGAGCCATGTGCATGGTAAAAGTTGAAGCTACATGTATGATCCCTTACACTAAGTTACAGTACCATAGCAATAGTAGGATACCCCTAAAATAGCTTCCATGCAGCAGACTGGCAATTCTTTAATGAAATAAGCAATGTTACTGGACAGAATGGATAACAGCAAACTACCAATGAGTGAAAATATCCCACCTTGGGGGTGATGAGGAAGTACTGGGAGGTGTTCTCCCTACAAGCTGACCCCACAACCAGGTCAAACACTCGCCGCTCGTTGGTGGGATCCATGCCCTGCAGACAAGAGGCATGTCATGATACAGATGTCATTGATACAGATAATACTAAACTCTAAAGCAGGGGGCCAGTGCACTGGTAGCACTATGTCTTGAACTCTTTCCTTTGAGTGCTGTGTAGACAGGCAGCATGTACCATTTAACAATCTTGGAATTAAAATTAGTCCACGACCTACAGCAAGCAGACCTGACCCTTTACAAGCTAAGCAATTGCTTAGATTATGTAGATTACCTGGTTGATTTCATCCACGACCCTGAAGGGACACCTGGTCAGCTCTTGTAGTGCCATGAGATACAAGATGGTGGACACACTGCGCTCTCCGCCACTTTGGTGGTACGGGTTGAGCTCGTGAAGCTGGGACGCGTTACGGAACTTCACGCGTATCCTGATTCCATACTTGTCGTAGTCCTCCTGAAAGATAATTAGCAAGAATGAGGATAGGTCCAACAAATACAAGATAACAAATACGGTTGACATGAAAACTTTTCTTAAACTCAGGACCTTTAGACTCAGAGTCAACCACCCTAAGCAGGAGGAACACTAACCTCGTTCTCAGCGTGCAGGTCGACCTCCCCCACACATTCCAACATGCTCATGAAGCGGGAGAAGTTGTAGTTGATCCTGTCCACCAGTTCCCGCAGCGGCGTCAGCCAGCGCTCCCGCACCACACAAATCTCCTGCCGCTGACTCTCCAGGTGATTCCCTTGCTGGTCCACCTGTGGTTTGTGTGCGGAAACAGTGTTACAAAACCCTGTACACCAGCATAATGTGCAACCATTTTTCAGCAGTTTAAACGAGCCACGTGTATTCTGGTTCAAATTGAAATCAAAATGGTCCTAATGCTTAAAGAATAGCTCTCAGAGTCCAATATTTAATTTGACTTAACAATTGTTCATTACATTAAAATGTTCATTTCATTATCATATGTATTATTATATGAAGTCTCACCTCTCTGTTGAGCTTGGCTATGTCCCTTTGCCTCTTTTCATATTCTTGTATGACCTGAAGAAAGTAAGGGCACAAAGATAAAACATCTTCAATTTGGGTAGAAAATTAAGTCACACAATAAAATCACAAAAGTCATCAAGGTTTACTAGACTAAGTGTACAATAGCAACAGCAATGTAAAAAAGTAACAGTAAGATTTGTTTGCTTTAAAATCATGAAGAATACAAGAAATAAACAAGAAGTTTCCCCTTACCCCCGGGTCAGTCTGGAAGCAGAGGTCGGCCCTGGCTCTGGTGTCGTTGATCATGGCTTCTATTTCATCCAGGTCATCAGTAGGATACTGGTTGAAGGCCTGTGTGAGAGAAAATACCAAAATTTGATATGTAACAATAGCATTTTCTGTCACACAGGCATGCAACCAGTATCCTGCTGATATCCTCCTTAGATTAGCAATATACAGTCCAATTGCCAAAAGCTGCTCACCCTTAGGTCTACTGAAAAATCTGTTAAGTGCTTATGACACAAAAATAAAGCATTTTCTGATTATATACAACAACAGTGTGGAGTATCATTCCATCAACATACACTCATGGTGGTGTGATGTTCGATCACAGGGGAAGAGTGTGTATTTGGTCTAATTATACTGTTGTTGTTGAATGTAATCAGAAAATGTATTATGGTGTCATAGTCACCTAAAGTAAAGCCTAACACAGCAAGTAAAGTACATCTTGGAATTGCTGTAGTAAGCGCAAGCAGTAATTAAATCACAGAGTGGATCACAGCCCTTTATAACTGATAGATGCATGCTCATTTCAAACAATCTATTGCTCTTGGGAAGTACAAATGTGTTCAATGTCAAAAATCCATGTAAAATGGGCAAAGAAGTACATGTCCTGTCCATGCATCAAACGTTAGGACGAGACTAATGAATGTATTTATGTATATTCGCTAACAGTCAGGTATGTTATAACATAACCGTGTAACAAATGAACACAATCGTCCATGCGGTAGTTGTTGAGTTTTAACATACGTCTATCCAGTGCTGAGGTGGTGACAACTCCCCAGTGTCTTCTCGCTGCTCCAGACCGATAGTCTCCTTCACCACATCTATGGAGCGTTTGTACCTGTCTTTGGCAGTCTTGGCCTCCTGCTCCGCCATGTGTGCCTCTTGCTGTAACAGGAAGATTATGATGAGCAGTTGCCAATCCCAGCATTCCTACCAACATGGACTGTTTATCGCATCCACACAGTTTGGGAGGTGGCTTAAGTAATGCTGGCCTAATCCTCAGAGGAGTGAGTGAGTGAGTAATCCTCATCAAACAAATGCAAATTTAGGAAACAACTAACACTGAGGAGCAGTATCAATGACATTTCTCAAGGGAAATTAACTGTAAACATGAGAAGGCTGTCCTGTATTACCTTGAGCCTGCGCTCTGTGTCCGACCACTCCCTCTGCTCCGTCTCCAGGCGTGACACCTCTGCTGTTGCCAGGAGGTGCTGCATACTGAGCTCAACCTTCTCCTTGTGGTGGTCCAATACTTTCTGTAGGTGATGCAACATGAACCTGCTTAGAAGCTATGCTGCACACTTAACATAACACTAATTTACACAACTTTTCAAGGTTCAACACTCTTTCACACTGCAGCAGAATTACTGTTTCTGAAAAGTTGCAGATATGTGATATGCTGAACATGAATGTACAAAATGTACATTCTAACTTCTGATCAAAACTAAACCTGCATTCAGACCTTGATGTAGTCCTTGAGTTCTTTGACCAGCTTGAGTCTTTTGTCATTGATGGCAACAATCTTTTCCTTAGCTTCCATCTCTGCTGCTTCAAGGTCAACAGCATCGTTCTCATACTGTTGGATCCTGGAAAGACAAACTTCTATTTAGTACATGTTTGTTTGTTTATTGTATGCAGCACATATCTGGTAAACCATCAAATAATTGCACACCTTACATACAGGACCTCTGGCTTTGCAGCCCTTCTAGCCAAGTACGCATCTGAGTCAAGTTAAGAAATTTGGGGTAAAGAGCTTTCACCAAGGGCATAACATTGAGACCTGCTAAGGATTTTAACCAACGACCCTAACAGGCACAAGGCCAACATGTCACCAGATGTCCCTTAACCTAAACTGTGTTCAGAAACTTCCAAAAGCAATTCTGCATTTGCTACAAAAACTGACATATCAAACTTCCTAGTTTTTTGTGAACAATGTCTCAAGAAAAGTGAAGCATCTACCTAGATTTTTTGTGAACAATGTCTCAAGAAAAGTGAAGCATCTACCTGGACTCCTTGGTCCTGATCTGCTGCTCAAGGCGACTCTTTTTCTCTCTCTTTGCACTTAGCTCTTTCTGTAGATAGAAATGTACCATTTAAGAAAACAGAACATCATAAAAAGATGACATAATGTAAAAAGCTGCTTTTGTCTAACTAGGAGCTTATTTCAATCAAACAGGAAAAGTGAAAAGATGAGGATTTGGGACATCTTTAGGGACCATTTTGTTGAACATGAGCAGTTGGTTAAAAAGGTTCTACAGTGAAGAGAGACAAAGGGCCGCCCTTCTTTTACTTTGGAAAAAAAGATACAGGGTTGGAAAATTCAGATAAGCTATCCTTTATGTGTGACAAGGAGCCAAGGATTCCACATGTCATCGTACTAAGAGAAACTGAACTATTTATTGGAGTTTGTACCTTCTCCTGCCTCAGTCTGTTGTCCCTGAGTCTCAATTCATCCTCCTTCTTGTCCAGCTCCTTATACTGCTCCTGTCCCGCATCTCGGTTGGTCAGGGCTTCCTGGAAGGGAAACACAGAACAAGATATATCTTACATCTGAAAATAATTTCATCAGGTTGGTAGAACTTAGGAGACAGGTATTTCTTTTTACACAACCGGTAAATTCTCACCTTGCTGACGTTTCGGTGTCTGTCAGACACCTTCTTCAGAGCTTCTTACTGGAGTACTGCATCTCGCCGCTATATGTAGCCGATGTAGGTGGCGCTTTTGCTGATATATCTTACAGTTTGTCATAAGCCGGACACAGTCTCATCAGTATCATTTACCTTGCTGTGTACTTCTCATAATTCACCAAATCACCATGACATTAAGTAAGGCTGTTCCTTGATATAAAAGGTTGTGAAGTTGACCTACCGTAAGCTCCCTCTCCACTTGTGCCCTCTGCTCTGCATCAACTGACAGGTTCAGCAGATTAGCTTCCCTGGACAAACACATGTACACAGTCAGATACACTCTACAAAAGTACATATGGTGATCCATTATATCTATGGTTTACAGTTTAGGGAACTTTGTAATATATGGAAACAAGCACTGCAGTTCAACCCCATATTGACCCCATACATGACCTGGCAAGTTTGTCTCAAGGCCACAGCTCAGGTGGGAGAATTCTTGACACTTTATCTGATCATGCGTGTGCCTAAAATATATAGCTTTGCCGAAAATAGACACACACACACACAAACGCATACACTGTCAATTATTGAGTAAAAATCTTACCGAACGGAGCTGTTGGTGGAACTGACCTCTCCCGTGTACCGAG